ACGGGTTAATCATCTCACCCACCCCGGGCTCCTACCTTCCCATGACTTAGGGAAAAGTGCATCTCTTTGCTCAAACTGTATGAGGCTGCGAGTTAGTACAAATGGAAGTGAGGGTCCCATAAAAGAGTTTCACGTCACAGGATGTAGCATGTCCTCCCAACGAACGGGCCATACTTTTGACCTTATGTTTGGGCGTCAGTTGCATCGTCGATTTTTATATTATATATTCTGTAAGGTGTCTGTGTTCCACGTCTGACATGAAATTACAGACGTTCCGAGGAGTGTGACTTTTTACAAAATTTTGCACTTCCTCACTCTAGAACAAATGCAAAATGAGAAAAAAAATCAGATCCGACACTACAAAAGAAATATATTAGAGAGGGATGTTGAGGAACCCACATTTCTCGGCAATATACTCGACGCAGTGCTGGGCGAAGCCAGCTGTTCGATTTCCAAAATATGGGACTTCCAGATCTAAATGCTAAAGATGTACAGTCGAACATCCCTTCAGACAGTATTCTCAATGAAACACACCATGCACAGAACCATTGTGAGCAAATGTTATCACCAGAAGATCGCTAAGCATTTTGTTTTCGGGAACAGTACACAAATCGCCTGTGGCAGAGTTTTTCACAATATCCATGACAGTACCACCATCAAAACCCATCATGAATAATTTCTCGCGATCGATGGGCTTACCCTGATACACTGCTTTTGGGAACTCTGAAACAAAAGCTTTGATTGTGAGGAAGGAGAAGAAAGAAGCTGTGCAAACCGAAATCCAGGGATTTTTGGAAGTTTTTTCGGACGTTTGCCGTGATGAAATCGTTTCCACTTGAGAACGTCGGAAATTTAGCAACACGATTGACAGCAGTGAGATTCAGTTCGTGAAATAGCCCAAGCTTCTGCTCATTGGGCTGAAATGAAGTCCCATTCATTACTGGACTAGTCATTGGGAAGCACTCAAGCTTACACCGTTCATATTGTTCATGAATTGGGTGACGTTGACCGGAATGTAGTCGCTGATCAGCACCACCTGCTTCTTCAGCATCACAGTTGATGGATGTTGGTTGTCGTTTGCAATCTGAACGGTCGCTCTCAATGAACAAGTGAGAATCTGAAGTAGACTCACAATATCTGAGAAAGTCTTGATGACTGCACTTAGTGGAGCATCCGGATCATCATACTGCTCGAAGGCGCTGCTATTAGTTCTTGCGCTCGACCATAGCTTCTCCATTTCCTCGTCGTCCTCAATCCACGACGCTATCTCATTCCCCAGTGAATCCGTTTCGATCGTGACGGACGTGTTACGGCCAAAGTTGAATTTGTATCTGATTTGCTCGTGAAGATCCATTAGCTGAAATGCAAAGTACGGAGTCAACAGGTCCTCTCTGCATGTATAGCTTATGGAACGGAGCACAACTGGTGTACTGGAATAAGGCTGTTTTCTCCTAACTCGAATCCTTTCGCATTCTTTCTGCCTAATTTTTCAACGGCAAGATGTCATTTCCTCCATAAGATATCACTCGCTTCTCTTTTTCATAACGCTACCTTCATATGCATGATTTGATGAATGGTCGAGAGCGTGAAGAAGAACTATATGTATTGTATCTATCGGGTTGTTGAAGAGTAACTGCAATCTTCTGCCGTTCCAAAAAAATTCTTTTCTCTGGAAATTCTGTTTTCCAGACAAAAGCTGGACTACACGCATAATATTTGATTTCCCCATCTTTGGCATAGGTTTCTCATTCAAGGAGTTACATCAACGACTGAAATAAGTAGGATGACGCGAGACAGGGATTGCATGGTGGACCTTCATTTGATCAAAATCACTTTTTGAACTCTTTCAAGCAGGGTCGTACGGCATTGTCCATGACCATTTAATTGTAACATATTGCAACATTCCGCCTTTTATCAAGAACCACCTTTCGCTGAAAAAGGGTCTTCTTAACTGCTTGGAGAGCAACTCGTAGATAGTGAAATGGATTTGGATGCTTTTCAACCATCATACAGCTCTTGGTACTTATCTAATCTTCCTGTAGTGTAGTGTAGTGATTCATTCCTTCTCCTGAATGGAGGCTTTCTTACCTTTTATTTTGAACCAGGCTTCACTTTTATTTGACTGCAATTGTTGAATTAAAGGGATCATGGGATTGTATTTAGCCCACCTGAGCGTGCACCAAAAAATAAATAAATACTGATTCGCGGCTTCAAGAGTATCGCCCTTTACTCATGTCGCACTCGAACATCTAGCTTTTTTTATTACTTCGAATTTTTCGATATTCTCATTAATCATTCCCATGGATGCGTTGGTCTTCTGAGTGAGATCATCTAGGCTCACATGGTTATAGTGAGGGTCAGCTTCGGTGAATGAAATTGAAGATTGTCACTCATACCTACTTATAGTCAGTTCACCTTGAAGTGAAAAATTGCTAAAACGAAAATTTGTGGATCAGCATTCATATGATTCGTGATAAGGCACCGTCAGCTCATGCTCCACACATAGCATGGAAAACAGCAGCAGCTCTTTCAACACCTCAGAAGTAAAAACGAAAAATGTCCGGAAATGTTCCATTCGATAATCCATGTTTAGAATGAGCCAAAAATTACGCATGGAAATGTAGCTCGTTCAATTTTTTTTCTCAAAGTTATCAGAAATTACATACCTGTTGTATGTATCGAGTTAAAACCGTTCAAACTTCTGAAAAGCTTCTAAAACAAGCATTTGAAAATTCCTTGCAATTTCTTTCCTGGGCCTTTTAGACTAACAGAAAGACTTTGTTCTATTCAAAAACTCGCCCTCGGGGGTATCATTCAAACCACTACATACACTACCGTTCAAAAAATCACCTCAAACCTTTTTTGCCATAACTCATATTGAAATCTATGTTTTTGACTGGTCCTTTGGTAGCACCTTTTTCAAATATACGTGACTCTCCTGCGATGCAAAGAACGCGGGAGCTCACTTCCCGCCAACTGGACGGCTTTTTTTCAAAAAGGTGGCAGAATTGGCCTGTTTTTAGGTGGGTTGCTCTGAGAGTTTTTGAGACTAGAACTGCTTGATGGCTCTTGATTTCGATTGTAAATTTCTTCCAGTAATGGGATAAGCATTTGGATCTCGCTCTTTGACTGAAGAACAGCTCTCCGCCATTGCTACAGGCAGAATGCAGGGATTAACGCATGCCCAACTTTCAGAGCAGTTTGGAGTGTCGAGGTACACAATCATAAGGCCATCGGAAGAAAAGAATTAGATCTCGCGTAGGCCCTATCAAACGCGCAGTACGGGAATGCAACGGATAACCACTCCTGCGGATGATAGGAAGATCATTCGTGTGTCGCGTCACGATCCCTTTGCGAACATCCTTCTATAGTGTCCTAAATATCAGCGACGGTGACGCCGCTACCATCTCAGACGGCTGCGCGATGTAGGATTATATGCAAGAAGGCCCGTGAAAAAAACTGTCGATTTCCCTGAACAACAGACGAGCTGGGCTTGAATGGGCCTGCGTGCGCCTTCACTGGACGCTCGACCAATGGCGTGAAGTCATTTATAGCGACGAGTCAAAGTTTCTTTTGTTTGGTACAGATGGGATTTCCTTCGTTAGACGACCTGGCAACATAAGATTTGATCCCAAGTATCAAATATCAACTGTCTTGCATGGTGGTGGTTCAGTGTTCGTATGGGAATGTTTTCAAGCCGAGACATGGGGCCTCCGCACTTTATTCCCACCACTACGAACCAGCAGATGTACGTGGACAACTTGAAAAATGCATGCTGCCTTTCGTGTGCACTTCAGAAGTTTCAGAAAGTTCGATGCCTTGACTGGCCCAGTCAGTCCTCTGACCTAAACATCATCGAACCCTTGTTGCAGGAACTCAAGAAGAGGATAGCCGATACCAGAACCTGATCGACAAGTTGGTGAAATGAATGCCCCGCTGATGCCATCCGTCATCGATGCCAACGCCTCGTTATGTTGTCGGAAAAGTATGTGCGCCTTTTGCAATTTTTTTTCAAATTTATTTTTTTCCCTTCGTAATAGCTAACAATTAACAAATATCATCATCATCATTATCGACAAGGTATTGCCATTCATCAGGCAACTTGTGGTTGCTGCTTGCATAGAATTCCTGAGGTTTCGAGAAGTAAAAGTCGTCAATGTACGTCTCGAGTTAATTACCATAATCGAACTTCTTATTTTTCGGATGGTTTGACAGCGATAGAAGCGATAATCCGATGATAATAGCGATGATAATCCGTTGGAGCCAGGTCTGGTGAATACGGTGGGTGAGTCAGAACATGCCATCTCAAGCTTTGAAGCTTTTTCTGAGCCTCTTTCGAAAAGTGTGGGCGAGTACTGTCGTGGAGAAAATAGACTTTCCTCAGTTTCTCTCCTAGAGCTGCAGCAATCCGTTCCACAAAGCACACTAGGCTTCAGTGCCGATAGCGGAGTTTGGTGGTAGAACGTTCCAGTAAACGATCCTTTCAAATGGCTTCAAACGCTTGGCATTGCCTTCTGAGGTAGGAATTCTGGGTTGGAGGTCGGGATTCCATGCTCTACGCATCCAAGCCACTGGCGCTCCCTCGTGTGGTTTGAGAAGAGAACACACTTCTCGTTGCCAGTGATTAAGTCTTCTAGCCATGGAAGGTGCGTTGGAAAGTCATCAAGTTCAGGCAATCCCTCTTCATTTGGAGGTGGTGGCCACAACTTATCCATATCTCCGAATCTCCATGTCTTTCCGAGGCGATGCAAACGGACAGCTGCTGTATCGTGATGGCTATGAGCTCCTGTTTCAGCTGAAGCTGTACTGAACCTGGAATTCTCTTCAACCAGTTTCAAAAGTGGTCTCTATTCAGCTCAACTGTTCTCCTAGACAGTGTTTTTTCGGTCTAGTAAAGTGGTCATTTTTAAACTTGTTGTACCAACTTCTTGTTGCGCTGTTAGAGACAATAGATGGTCCTATCCCACCGCATATTTCCTCTGTCGCTCAATTTGGATTAACGTTTTTTTTTTGAACTTATGAAGTAAAGGCAGTCTGACTCGCTCTGGGTCGAGAGCGATTCTTGCAGCCATAACCGTTGCGAAATGCTACGGCAGATATGGTGTGGAGAGCGCATTGACCTGCACTTACACATATTCCGCAGTGAAGGCTCTAGAGCAATCCCCAAAGATTTCACAACATGGAAACCAAAATGTGCAAACACTTTTCCGACAACCTAATAATAACGATTTTCATGAGTTCTGTTATGGAAACATTAAGAATCACTGCTGTTTACAACATATCAAAAAATTAGTTAAAAATATCGAGTTCGAGCTGAGTTATGGCAAAAAAAGGTTCAAGGTGATTCCTTTTTGAAAGGGTACTGTAGCTGGAAGAGTCATACGATTTCCCCTCACAATTATGTTGGACTATAAGCGGTCTTGTTACGCAACGGCTCGCTTATCGGAAGTTTCTCACAGTGGCAAGGCGACGAAAATTGTGCTTCCGTAAGAACAAATAAATGATACGTAGTCAAGTACAGCTTCCTCTAGAGGCCCGTATGAATTTTCGCGCTTTCAGGAAAAGCAACTCGAAGAAGTGAACCCATAGCCTCAAAGATAAAGTCATGGTAACCGACCTACACGAATCTAGAAGTTTTTCATAACCACACCCTATTCAGCCTTGAAAGTAAAATGTTTGTTTTAATGTAGAAAATATTAATGATCGCTTGCACTGGAAATATCTTTATGTTTATGACTGACTTCTAAGTGGAAAGTATGGCGAACTGTGTGTGTGNCTTACTACTTTGACATCCAAAGCTACATAAAATGGCCAAATGTTTATTGAGAAGGCCAAACATAGTAAAAGTAAAAGTGATGAAGGCGCAGTAGCCTCTCCAATGCTGCGTGATATGGATTAGAATTCAAACGGTCGGCTAAACTGTTCTGTGACAGAACTACTTTTTTATAACGATTAACCTTCAAAATCGATCACAAAGAGAGGATTCTACTGGGCATCGAACAGGATCATTTGCTTCCTTCTAGTGTAAATTAAATAAAAGAATTAGAAGAAAGTCGGCCACCCCACTTTGAGAAATCTTCATTATAGTTCGCTTTTCAGTCAAAATTCGGAGGTGGTGCAGTGGCAAGTGGCGCACTATCTCACATGTCCACTGTTTCTAAATAATCCCAGATCGATATCTGCCCTAGCCAACCCAGCCTTCCATTCCTTCAGGGTCGGGTAATTGGTACCATCCTCGTCTTTGAGGAGAGGAGCACTGACTTGTTACACAGGCTGGCCACTACAAATCATTGTATAAGCACGTTCGCACTCAGTAAGTTACGACAAGACTCTGAACGGAAGTCGAGTACAGGGGCTCATCCTTCATAGGGAATTGAATAATGCCAGAAATTTTTAAAGTTTTTATTCTCTTTTGATTCTGTGAGTAGACCAAATATCATTCAATCTTGACGATTCTCCATGAGAACCATCAAAAATGTCTCTGAAAGCTCGAGCTCTCTTCTTCTCGCCTTCTCTTTTTTAGGAACTGTTTTCGAAATGGAAAAGTTGACTTTGTATCACCCTGATGTCCGTTATCAAGAAGTGCTTCCGAGAGGAATACGATTATGTCACGGGGGTATGCGCCACAGAGGGAAATATTGGTTTTTCGGCTTAACACCCAAAACCTGATAACTTATTGATTAAATTACGGTGAATGCTACCTACCCTTGA